TGGAGGAGGGTTGTTAAAGGGAATGGAGGATAAGGCAAAAAAAGAAAAAAAACCCCCCCCCCCCCCCCGCAGGACATGCTGTTCAACCTGGCGGAGGCCGCAGATCTCGCCGGTAAGCGCGCGGCCATGTTCACCGGGGAGAAGATCAACAACACGGAGGGGAGGGCGGTCATGCACGCCGCTCTGCGGGCCCCCAGGGAAGCGGTGAGATGTCCTTTTTTTTTTATTCGTCAGTCATCCAGCGAATGCCAACTTAAACATTCTCGCGTTTGGGTTGCATTCCCTCCCTCGGGGTGTTGAGCCTCGGGTGGCGGTAACGAGAAATAATTTGTAGTGTGTGAGCGTTACTGTACCTACGGCAGGCGGATGGGAAGGCCGCAACTGAAGAAGGTGCCGTCGTTTTCTGTCTGGGTAACACGCGGAACCCCCGTGAGGAGAAGGCTCCACATTCCGGCTGGGCTATACTTGCATGCAGTACTTGTACGGTCAACCTTGTACGGTCAAACCTCTTACCATCCCGTATTCACACCTCATCCCGCAAAACGGCCTGAACTGTGTGGTTGTTATCATTTGTTTTTGCGGCTGGGTTTCGCATCTAGCAAGACCATTTAAACACGTTTCCATCTCCTCGTACGTTCTTAGACTCACACACGGCGTTCCCGATTTCGTCGTTTTTTATTTTTGGGGCGTTTGAGGTTCGCTGGAGTGTTGAATTGGAAACACGTGGAGCAAGTGAGAGCTTGGGACACGTCATACCGCAGCTGGCAACCAGCTCTGAGTTGGTCCTGCGGCCTTTTTTTTTTGTAGATCTTGCATGGTTGATGAAACTGTGCTTTCATGAGGCCACTCCGTCGGGATCACCTGCACTCAACGTGTTCGGTATTGTGCCTGTCAACCTCTCTAGGCACGTACAAGCACTAAACAGCCCCCCCCCATTTGTTTTTGTTTTTATTCTTTTTGTGTACACAGACCATGAACGTAGACGGCAAGAACGTCGTGCCGGACGTGCACTCTGTCCTGGACAAGATCGAGGACTTCTCGGCACGCGTTCGTTCCGGCGTGTTCAAGGGATGCACCGGAAAGCCCCTCCGCAACATCGTCTCCATCGGCATCGGTAAGTCGGTGAAGTGGCTTCGGCGTTGTTGGACCAACCGTGTTTTTGGCCCGGGGGGGGGGCAAGAGACAAAGTACCGGAGTTGGGATTCAGCGGGCGCAATCGGCGTTGTGCACAGATATCGCCGCCCCAGCCATATGAGAACTGATTTTTTTTTTTTCCCGAGGCTTGCGTTCGTCTACATTATTGTTTTGACTTTCATTTTCCTGTGGTGTGATGTGTTGTTTGCAAAGGAGGAAGTTTGTGATGTTGATGTATTTTTGCAGGAGGTTTGTAGCTCGGCTTCGTTGAACAGAAGGACTTTTCTTTCGTGATACTGTGGTGATGAATCGCAGGCGGCGGGTCGTACCTAGCCTGTGCCGACATTATTTTTTTTTTTCTGTCATGTTGTTGATGGTTTGTGCAGGCGGTTCATACCTAGGGCCGGAGTTCGTGTTCGAGGCCCTGAAGTGCGAGCCGGCAGCCCAGGGCGCGTCGACGGGGAGGACCCTGAGGTTCTTGGCCAACGTCGACCCGGTGGACGTTAGCCGTGCCATTTCCGGGTGAGTGAGGGAGTGAATGCCTCGTTTTTCATTCGGAGAGGCGTTGTTTTCGACGACAATGTTCATCTTGTGCAGATGTCCCCGCTGGTTAAGACCTTCACAACGAGAGACGTTCAAAAAATGTGCCTCCCCTTTCTCCAACCATACGCTTCTGCGTCTCTCTCTCTCCCCCCCGCCACAAACCCCGGCCATGAAAAAGGCTTAACCCCGAGGAGACGTTGGTGGTCGTGGTGAGCAAGACCTTCACCACGGCTGAGACCATGCTGAACGCTCGCACCATGAAGGACTGGCTCATCACCTCGATCAAGGGGAAGACCGCGGCGGAGATCACTAGCCAGCATATTGTGAGTCCGCGCTCGGTGCAAGTGATGTACGTTTTTTTTTTTTCTAGTTGTATGGGACCGCACTGGTTGCATCTGGTATAGCCAGGAACAGCGTTGTTTTGAGAAGGGGGATTTCTTGACGGGGAGGAACGAGGCCAGCACACGCCGTGGGCTTTTCTGCAGCAGCAGAAGCTGTTGCGTGGTGATCGTTTCGACGATCGGGTGTACCGCGTTGTTTTCGCATCATTATGTTCGGGAGAGGCTGCGTTGAAGACCTTCGTCTCGAGGACCAGGGAAAAAAAAAAAACCCTGTCTTTCCATCGCTTGGTCTTTGATATTCGACAAGCAGCTGTTGCATACCCCTACGGTCTTGACTGTTGCCATCGTACCTGCCGCTGAAAACTTGTTGCTGTCTCCCTTTCCAACCGAAAACCCACCGATCACCCTAGGCTTCCTATCCCCTTACCTTCCTACACCCCAGCCTTTCTATACCCCTGCAATGGCCTATGTTGGGAGGCGAGGCCAATGGTCTAACGACTACGGCATGCACGGCTATGACTACACCCGCCCTACCTCCTCCCTCCTACTGAGCGACAACGTAACCGGAAGACCGTCATCCTGTCTCTTTTGTTGTTTAGGTGGCGGTGAGCACTAGCGACAAGCTGGTGCAGGACTTCGGAGTCGATGCTGCCAACATCTTCGGCTTCTGGGACTGGGTGGGCGGAAGGTGAGAAACGTGTGTGGGGTTACTCATGTTTCGCATGCCTTCGCTGTTTAGACCATTGACCACGCGTACTCGAGCGGACGGGGCTTTGGTCCCACGAGAACGACCACCGACGATGGCCAATCGTTCCTTCCTACTTTGCCGGAGGGAGGGGGGCGGGGGATGCAAACCCTACGAGAACATGCCACTCTCCGCAAACTAGAGGTGGTGGTCGTCGCCGTGCGTGGATGACCCCCTCTCCTAGCTCTCTCCCTTGCCCGAAACTCACCACCTCCTGATTGGGCGCGATTTTCTGTTGCCGCTACCCCCGTCCATTGTAACCTCAAAACGCTCGTATCTTGTGCTAAGCACTGTGTGGTCTGGCATATCGTTGCCATGAACTTGGTTCCGCGCGTCCGGTTAACGCCGTTTTCTTTTTTCTGTCAGCTTGCCAACTTTCTACCCCTCTCCGTCTGTCGTCTGTTGAGGTACGGCTGATCGTCTCGGGCAGTGTCGACGTTGAGCCCACCCTACACTCCAACCCTCCGTCTGACATTTTGTCAACAGTAGCCTTGTTCACGGGAGCCGCTGGATTCCCCTCGCCTCTACAATTTTTCCAACCACATGCCCCCCCCCCCCCCGACGATATAAAGCGAGAACACTTATTACAGATAAAGGTGTCCCGATTTTCCTCCCTCGCCCTAAGTTTTCATGCTGCGCCCCTCCGCCCTGCCTTGCATTTGCAACGCAGCCCTGCTCACGTAGGCCGCCGTAATCCCCTCGCGATACATTTTTCAATCGCCTACTCATGATATTCCCCCCCATGAATGATGGTCGAATGTATTATGTTGTGTGAGGTGAAGAACCCTCACTCCGCGCAAGGGGGATGATCGCACCACGTTGTGTTAAAATGGTCAAGCACCCACGAGGCAGTTGACACTGTGCTTATTACTGCCTCTGGAAGTGGAAGCACCAGAAAATACATTGAAGTCATGCGCAGCTGTCACCCGTACGCAAGGAAGTAGGCACAAGACGCCGATTACCCTTAGTAGGATGCAGTGCACCCTCCATGCGCCTCGCCGAATACCTCACGGTGCATCGCGCTTAGTGATGTGGGAGCCTGGTCCGCTGAGAACCCGGCGTGCTCCGTCCCGGCTTTGTAGGGACGCGAGGTCAATGATAAAACGAAACGACTGTGTCATTCACTGCTTGAGTACGCCCCCCCCCCCCCCAACATATTTTCATCTTGGGGACCCCCCCTATCCTTCCGCCGGCCCGCAGGTACAGCGTGTGCTCCGCCGTAAGCGTCCTGCCCATTGCGCTGCACTACGGTTTCGACATCGCGAGGCGTTTCCTGGACGGGGCCCACGACATGGACAACCACTTCCTCAACGAGCCGCCCCGGCAGAACATCCCCGTGCTCATGGGCCTCCTCGGCGTTTGGAACTCCACCTTCCTGGGGCACGGCGCGCGCGCGCTGCTGCCGTACTCGCAGGCGCTGCTTCGGTTCGCGGCTCACATCCAGCAGGTGAGAGGAGGGTTGAGGCCGTTTTTTTTTTTTTTTGTGCGTTGTGGTGGTTGTGGTGGTTGTGGTGATGTTTCTGCTGCTGCTGCTGCTGCTGCTGCTGCTGCTGCTGCTGCTGCCGCTGCCGCTGCCGCTGCCGCTGCCGCTGCCGCTGCCGCTGCCGCTGCCGCTACTGCGGTTTTTATGGTCGTTGTCGTCGTCATCATCGCTTCTGTTTTGTTTTGGTTCAATAGCCGGTCCCTCTGGCCGGACCGTTCGTTCGCCTTGCTTCTTTCTCTCCGGTCCAATTTCTTAAATCTGTCTTGTGGCCGCCCCTCTTGCTCTTGCAAGGTGGACATGGAGAGCAACGGCAAGCGCGTCGCGCAGGATGGGTCTGTGCTTCCCTTCGATGCCGGGGAGATCGGCTTCGGGGAGCCCGGCACTAACGGGCAGCACTCTTTCTATCAGCTCATCCACCAGGTTAGCGTGCGGGGGGGGGCAGAGAAAAAGAGGATGCCGGTTTGTTTAATGCATTAACGGGCAGCTCATCCACTATCCTCTCGTGAAGACATCACAGCTTCTGCTTCTACTCGCGCCGCCCACCCCTATCCTCTCTTGAACACATCGCAGCTTGCTTTCGACTTACGGGCCGGTGTCCGGGGGTTGGGTGTGCGGGGGCTGGTAGCACCGATGGAATGTGTACGTTTTTTGTCCATTTTCCTCTTTGTTCTTGATCCCTTTTTGTAATTTTTCTTGCGTGTTTGTGATATCTTTTTTGTACATTTTCCTCTTTGTGTTTGGTCCCTCATGTTCCGTATCCACATCCCCGCCCGCTCTCTCTCTCTCTCTGCTGCGCGCAAGACTCTGCAGCAAGGACGTTATCCAACGCCCCCCCCCCCCCCCCCCCCCCCCGTTTCCTCCCCCTCCCCCCCCCCCCCTCTCGGGGAAGATTTTTTTTATATTTTTCAAAAGGGAGCGGGGACCCCCCGGAATTTCTGGGGGAACGGCCCTCCCAATGGCCCGGGGTGGCCCAGGGGGAACCCGGTCCCCAACCCCAAGAAAACCTGGTCAAATTTTTTCCCCAACCCCAACCTTTTCCGTAAGGGAAAAACGGCCAAGAACTCCAAAAAGAAAGGGGGGCCGAATGGGTTTCCCCCCCCAAAGGGGGGGGGCCCTGGAATTTCCAAGAATGGGGGGGGGGGGGGGGGGGGGGG